AACTGCTGACCTTGCAGTTTGCAGCCCGATTCATAACCACTACGCTACCAGAGCTTCTTACTACAGCATATATAGTGCACTAATAATGTGCAGCCTGTCTGCATTCTGTAAAAAGCACAGGCTCCCTGGATGTGGAGCTTGGAGCAGTCAGTGCCCCCTGCCCATGAAGTGAGCGTGCTCTCAGTTTCCAGGGACACGCTGGCATCCTCTTTCCTTCGATACACAGTGCCCTCTGATGAGGGTCATGGGCTCGCACAACAGACGAGAATGTTGTTAGGAGAGGGAATGACATGATGGATGATTGCCAATAATTTCTCGCTAGATCGAAGCTGGAACCAGAGCCCAGTACAAAGCCACGAGAGGCTACATCTTCTGAGACAGCATCATCGAATCCCTCCAAAGACTCTGAAGAGAAGCCTGCCGTGGAGGACTCCCCAGGTAACTCCTCCCTGTGTGGCTTCCCCGGGGCAGGTGGCTGAAGTGCACAGCAGGTACAGAAGGTGTCTGCAGGGGAAGTGGAAGAGTAGGAGATATGAAGGCTGGGGAGGAGGACAGGGCCAGACCACCGAGGACCCTGCCCCCTCCACACTAGGGCACGCTGCAGGCCCGAGCAGAGGGCTGGGCTTCCGGCAGGTGATGGCTGCAGGTGCGCATGGCCCCAGAGAGCTGCACACCTGAGTTGTTGTCGGACATGATTTCTGCTCTGGCTTCACTGCCCATTTATGTGTGGTGTCCACGTCACTGGTGGTTTTCTGTTTCTAGCTGTGTTTCTTTCCTTAGAAAAGTCAGTGCTTACAAAGGAAACCGAATCAGGGCAAGCAGAGCCAGGGGGGCAATGGGACAGTCAGGACAGTGGTTCCTACTCCGGAAAACACTGCGCTGTTTCTAAAGATGCTTTCAGCCCATCTTATAGAAAGAGGAGTTTCTATAATGACAGTTTCAACAGAAAGAGCAATTTTGGTAGAACCTGTGCCGAGCTGTGGTTGGCATGGAGATTTTTTGTGTGGTTACATGGATGCTGCTTCCTCTAAATTGCTTCTGTCATCGGGTGCTTTTCCCCTGTCAGTCTCAAACCCAAACTCTGGACTTTTGTCTAAGTTACAGAGCTGAGATGTCTAGTGAGCGAGGAAGGAAGGGAAAAGGCAAATTGACCTTTGCTGAGTACTTGGTGTTTCACTAGGAGCTCCAGGGCTCTGCGGAGACAGACAGGGAGCAAACCACCTTCAGTAACAGGGACTTTGTTACCATCTCCACTGCCTCCAGTCCTCCTGGCCCTGTCCCCTCGGCTCCCTGCCAACCCTTTAGAAACCTCACACAGCCCAGAGGGGCAGTCTCCTGCCCAGGAGCCTGGGGAGGTGGGGGCTGGACTTTGCACACTCATCTGTTATGACCACCTTGTCCACAGACCTGTCCTCACTAGATAGTGACCTGTCCCTGGACTGCTGTCCACACCACTACATAGTTACCTGTCCCTGGGAAGCAACCTCCCCATGCTGCTACACTAGTGACCTGTCCGCAGGCAGCTGCACGAGCGTGGACTGCTCACACGGTTCACAAGTGAGGCTGGGCAATGGCTGCCCTGGTGGGGTCTCCTGCAGATGGAGTAGTTAGTCTACAGCCCTGCAGAAGGACCAGGGGGGCTGGGGGCGGAAGAGGCATTTACGTGGACTGACCCAGAATAAATTGTCATATATTGCTGAGTCAGAGAAGCAAGTTTTAGAGCAGTCTGTTAGAGTAATGTTGTCTCTGTGAAAAACAAACCACAACGGACATATGATACTATTCTTTATGGGTTTATTCAAGAGCAAAGATGTCAGTGTGAGAACTAAGGTGTAACTGACCCAAGCCATGGTATTTTCAGTCACCTCATATGTATGTGAAAGTTGCACAGTGACTAAGGAAGACTGTAGGAGAACTGATGTGTTTGAGTTATGGTGTTGGAGGAGAGTCCGGACCGCCAAAAGAACCTACCAATCTGTGTTGGAAGAAGCGCAGCCAGAGAGCTCCTTAGAAGCCAGGATGGTGAGACTTCGTCTCTCATACTTCAGACGTATTATTTGGAGGGACCCATCTCTGAAAAGGGATAGCATGCTTACTAAAGTGGAGTGTCGGTGAAAAAGAGGAAGACCGCAATGAGATGGATTGGCACAGTGGCCGTAGTAATGGGCTCAAGCATAACTGTGAGGATGGTGCTGGACCGAGCTGTGTTTCATTGTCATGCTTACGGTCGCTAACAGCACCTAATAGTTCTAGGTTTAAGTGTAGGGACAGGTGGGCAGGGAAGGGGCCTAAGGAAATCTGAGGCTACATCCAAGCAATCACAGTGGTTCCTTCTGGGAGAGGGGTAGCCAGATTGGGGAAAGTGTGTTGTTTCTTCTCTTTTAATGAAAATACCCATATACTTCAAAACGTTGGTGGGAGAATGGGATTGAAGATCATGGAGTTTCCCCGCACTTTTTGAAGCCTCCTGTGTTTTGCAGTGATGAAACAGTAAGTGCTTGTCCTTTGAAGTACAACGCATGGTTAGCTTATTCTGAAGAGTGTCTGTTCCATTTGCAGCCCTGGGTAGCATAGGACTGTGCTGAAACTGTGCAAATACCCACACAGACACACGTACATTCACAGAACATGCTCACAGACACATGTGCACATGTACACACAACAGACACATGTGTACATACTTGTATGTACACACACAGACACATGTACAGGTCCATATGCACACAACACAGGACACACACGTACCTGAGTATACACACAGCATGCACACACACACAGACACACTCACATATGCATATATGCACACAGACACACGCACACACATGTACCTGTGCATACACACACACAACGTCTCTGATCTGAACCGCAGGGAAGCAGCCTGTTGGTAGTGCCTGAGTCTGAGGCAGCAGAGAGCCCGAGGCAAACAGACCTAAGATGCCGGCATCGGAAGCCCACCGACTGTCAAATGCGGACCTCTGCCAACGTCTGTTCTCTGTTCTGCTTTGTTTTGAATAGGAACGCTCCTGCCTGACGCACAACCTGAACTGGGGAGCTGGGCCGATGGGAAAGGTGAAGACGAACTGTCCCCCGAGGAGATTCAGATGGTAAGGCCACCCTCTGCCTCCTGCCCACCCACACCCAGCGTCATCACCCTGACACCCTCATCCGCCCTGAGCATGTGCGTTTCTGAAGTGTGAAATTGTGTGTGTATGTATGTGAGTATGAACCTGTCTGCGTGTCACGGTTCATTAACACTGCTTACCTGATTTTCCGGAAGTATCTCATATTCGGTAAATTCACAGCAGCATAATTAAAGAAGAGATGGCCTTGGAATCATTTTACTAACAGTAGACATCTTTTTGTCCTTCGGACAAAGTGGGTCCCATCTCTCAGCGGTTGTGGTACTTTTCGGTTGTTGGGTCTGCCTTGTGTTCTGGTCATTGGAGGCGAGCAGAGGTAATGACTGCAACCTGGAGGCTGACTCCCTAATTGCTGACCTGGCTTCCTTTTAGCGCTTCAGCTCCTGGTCACTGATGGATGTAGTTGTTCATCTCTGGGGGCATTTCGGGGAGTGTCGGGGACCGGCCTCGACACGGATGTTTGGTTCACGAGGTGGGGATATCTGGCGGTGATAGGGATAGCAAAAGAGGAGACACAAAGACGCAAAGAGAGAGAGACAAAGAGACACCCCAAAACCAGAGTGGATGCATTACTGGCGTCCGGCAGATCTGGCGTGGTGAACATCTTAGCTATGAGGGCGGTAAGGTCCCTCATAGTAAACATCTTAGCTATGCGGGCAGTACGTTCCCTTTGCTAGCTGGTCATCCACGCATGCCTAGTCAGCCGTATAACACGCCCTCCAGGCTGTAATGCACACCTGGGTCGGTCCACGCCCCTGTTTTATTTAGGGGAGGAGCTTTACACCAAGCTGGGAGGGACTAAGACAAGGGACAGCTACATATGTAATTTTCCAGACATTCAGGCAACTTTACATTGTAATTTGCAGGTTCGAATCCCAGGCCCGCAACTTGGTTTCTCAGGCTCAATTAACGTATCTATAGCACCTTAGCTCAGTTGGGGGAAGGTGAGAAGGAAGATCAAAAGGCTTGGGAGGCGTCCCGCTGTGTTGGCTGCCTGGGCCAGGTTTGCAGGAAGAAGCGAGGCGCCTAGGTGAATGGGCTGCACCTGGAAACACTTTAGGGAGGGTGTCCTTTTGTCCTTAGAACAAAGACCCGGGAAGACACCCATTTACCTTGAGTGAATTCTTTGAGGAAAACTTTGCCTTTAGAATTTTACAGTCTCGGCTTCTAGGAAAGGTTCTTACATTTATCTGTGGATATCAAGGCTTTATGTATGAAATTAATAATAAACATAACTGAACAATAAGATGAAAGACAGTTTGCTATGTCTGCTAAGTGGCTAGAGTTTGTTCCTCAGAGCCCTCGGCCTGTACGGTCTGCAACACTTGGGCCCACAGGGCCTCAAACTCCTGACCGGGTCTGCACGGTCTGCAACAGGGGAGAAACCTAGGGGCCCGCTGCCTGGGGTCCGCAGCCGGCCTGGTGTAACACTGCACTTGGCCTTAAAGAGCTGGAAAACTGCTTCCCGCACAGCATGCTTTCCAATGGCAGCACTCAACAAATAGCAGTTGTTGTTTTTAGTGTCATCAAGCCGCTTCCACCTCAGAGCAGCCCTCTGTACGGCAGAATGAAACAGTGTCCTGCACCACCTGACAACCCGTCAACACTTACACGCTGCTGCAGTCACTGTGTCACCCCATCTCGTTGGGAGGTCGTCCTCTATTCTTCCAACTCTCCACCTTACCAAGTCTGATGTCCTCCTCCAGAAACTAGTCCCTCCTGACAACATGCCCAAAGTACAAGAGATGACGTCTTCCCATCCTGGCTTCTGAGGAGCATTCTGGCTGTACGCCTTCCAAGACAGACTTGTTCTTCTATCGGTGATTCCAGTGCATCAGTCTCCTTCACCTTCCTTGTTCATTTCCCAGCTTTTGCATGTGTATGGGGCGATTGATAATACCGTGGCTTGAGTTAAGTGCATCTTTGTCCTCCAGGTGACATCAAGCTGCTGCTGTGTAAAGATTACAGCCTCCGTAGAGCACTTCTGCTCTGTGACAGGCCAGGAAATCTGGAAGACACTTAACCTGGCTAGCCAACTGGAATAGATTTGTATCTGTGCTCATTGCAAAGGAAGCTGATCCAACAGAATGCGGGAACTTTCTAATATCAGGACTGTCACACGCAAGTAAAATTTGGCCAAAGATAATCCAAAAATAGTTGCAGCAGAACATTGACAGGGAGCTGCCTGAAATCCAAGCAAGATTCAGAAGAGGACATACAAGGAGAGGTGTCATTGCTGACATCAGATGTATCGTGACCGAAAGAAAGAATACCAGAAAGGTGTTTATTCTGTCTTTTACTAACTATGCAAAGGCTGCAGGAATTATAACAACTTGTAGATAGCATTTCCAAGAATGGAAATTCCAGAACACTTAATTACATTCATGTGGAACATCAAGAACCTAAGATCTCAAGGCAGTTGTTCACAAACAGAACAAGGGGGAAACTGAGGTGTTTAAAATCAGGAAAACTGTACATCAAGGCTGTATCCTTTCACCATACTCATTCCACCTGTTTGCTGAACAAATAACCCATGAAGCTGGGTGATCTGAAGGAAAACGTTGCATGAAGATTGAAGGAGGACTCATTAACAACCTGTGATATGTAGATAATACAACCTTACTTGCTGAAAAAGTGAAGAGGACTTAAAATACTTATTGATGAAGATCAAAGACCAAAGACGTCAGAATGGGTTGCACCTCAATGTAAAGAAAAATCCTCACCACGGTCCAATCGATAGCGTCAAGATAAATGGAGTTGTCAAAGACTTCATTATGCTTGGATCTACCATCAATACTCTTGAAAGCAGTGATGACAGTGATGTGCTGTGGAGTAGGTTCCAGCTCACAGCAATGCTGAGGGTTTCTGAGGCTGTAAATCTTTATGGGAGCAGAAAATCTTACCTTTCTCCTGAGGACCAGCTGGTAGATTTGAACTGCTGATCTTGAGGTTCACTCATGAAAGCACCAGTCAAGAAATCAACGGATGTTTTATATTAGGCAAATCTGTTGCACAAGACCACTTCAAAGTGTTCAAGAGCAAAGATGTCAGCTTGAGAACTAAGGTGCGCCTGACCTAAGCCATGATATTTTCAGTAACCTCATATGCATGTGGAAGTTGGACAGTGAATAAGAAAGCCGGTAGAAGAATTGATGCATGTGAGTTATGGTTTTGTAGGAGAATATTCAAAGTACCATGGACTTACAGAAGAACAAACAAATCTGTGTTGGGAAAAGTACAGCCAGAATGTTTGTTAGAAGCAGGACGGCCAAACTTTGTCTCTCATACTTCAGACATGTTGTCAGGAGGGACCAGTCTGTGGAGAAGGACATCATGTTTGGTAAAGTAGAGGACTGAGATGGATTGGCACAGTAGCTACAAAAAGGGGTCAAACAGCAGCATTTGTGGGGACGCTGCTGAACTGGGCAGTGTGTGGTTCACTGTACATGGATTGCTGTGAGTCAGACCCCACTGGATGGCACCTAACAATGCAACATTGAGTCGGTAACACCTGGGCTCTCCATGAGTTGGAATTGATTCAGTGACAATGGGCTTGGGTTTGGTCTGGATATGAAAAGATCATTTTTCATCTTGTAATGTTCTTCTTTCCATAATGACTTTGGTCGCTCCATGTTTCCGTTAAATTGCACTGTCCTAACTGAATCATTGCCTGGAAACAAGCCACTGGCCTTCCCCAGGAATGTTAGCTCTGTCGCCGGCTGGTTCCCAGGACTAACGCTGTCAGCATAAGCAGGGCCAGCCCGACTTAACGACATCACTGCAAGTGATGGGCCAGCAGCTGTGAGCCTCACTGCTCTCCTGACAGGCTGGTTACTGTTCACGTCACTTCTTTGCTAATTGGGAATAGTAGCCAAGCACGGTGTCGTATAGTCAGACTAAGCCAAGTCTCATTTAAGAAGGTTCAGCCATGAACACGAAGAGAAAGGAGTTGAGAAAGAAGTGGCTTTCCACTGGAAAGTGCTATAGCAAATTGTGGGCACCATTCATAACCATTGCTTCTGAATGTTTCCTCAGGGTAAAGTAATGAATGAAGCATTTTAATTCATGGTCTCACCCACAGGAGCAGTTGCGGCGTGTCCAGAATGATTGCAGGGTATTATGTGATTTGCGCCATAAATCTCCATTCATAACGTAGGATGCAGGTGTGTGAGTGCCTCTGAGTGGGATAAGCAGATGTTTTGTGGTCAGGCTGAGTGGAAATGGATTGTTTCCTGATGTGATAACTGAGAAAGTGACTCTCTACTCTTGGTTCACATTCAATTTCTGGTCTTCAGTGAATCCGCCTGCATTTCTGGGCACAATCCATGGGGCCACTTTTAAAGATAGGATGGTGACTTCTGTTTCTTCAGTCCACACCATGCTGGTACCTTGTCTACTCCAGTCTCTCGAAAGGCCCGTGGAATCACCAGATGACTGCCGGTAGAGCCTGCGTCTGTGGTCCCGCAGTGATGACCAGGGCATGTGGAAGGCCCCTCTCGCAGTTGATATAGAAGGAGGGGGCCAGGGGCGTGAGAGGCTTGGCAGGAGAAAAGGTGCATCCAGTGTTGCCCTGAGAGGGCCTGGGCAGTGACGGTTCCCTAGCCGGAGCCCACAGCCCTTCTGCCTGTGGCTCCTGGTTCTCAGCCATGCCAGTAACTGTACCACCTCCGCGGATGCTCAGAGGCCCGGGGAGGAGTGATTGCATTTTGAAACAATATAGTCACAAAGAGGATTTGATTAGGAAAGGATTTCTTTACCAATGTATTCACAATATCGTGGGTTTGTTTCCTTCAAACCAGATTACAGACCCTTAGTAACTGTTGTTAAGTCAAGTCAGTTTCTGACTCATCACAACCCTGTATAGAGTTTTCAAAAGAGCTACTGGTGGGTTTGAACTGCTGACCTTGTTATTAACAGTCTAGCACTTTTCCTACAGTGCCACCAGGACTCCCAAAAGTCTTTGT